GACATAGTTTTTTTATTCTGTTGCTTCACTATGGGCAGCAAAAATGCATCTGTCGGTACTCAACCACAATAAGGTCTGTGTTACAACTCGTTTGAACTTTTCTGTCCATTATTTATCGATTCGGTAACCTCAAAGAGGATCTTCAGACTTTCTGCATGCGATCTTTGGTGTAAGGATTGTGTGCTCAGCTTCATTTTCATCCATCTTGTCTCCCATTATTGTTCTGGTCCTCCGTTTCAAACTGCCATGCTGAATCCAAGTAAAACAGCCTCAGAGATGCACTGAGCCAAGACTTTTACATAAATAAATGTGCTCGCTGTGCAACGTTATGACACTCACCCACTTAAAAAAGTCTGAATATCACATATCGAACCAAAAGGCTCTCTTTTTATCAAGCTGTCCGTTTATATGAAGAAGGGGAACTCAGATTTTTGAATTAAGTTGAAAAATGAAGTCCACTACCAAAATATATTTAACACTATCTAGCAGGCTTAAACTTCACAAATTTACCTAATCTTATGATTACAAACTATTTTAACTTGACAACACGCTTCCATATAAATGTAATATAAATGTCTGAAACATAAATAAATGGAATAAATTATCCATTGCCACGATTCAAGAAACATATAAAAAATCATTTAAATGCATAATAAAAAAATGATTTCAATATTTTAATTTGTACACGTCCATAATTGCAGGCTCTGTGACTCCAAACATAAAAAAAATTTAGCCATCTGCAAACAGTGCAGCCGTTTAAGCCAAGTGCAAGACTTGAACCAATGAATGAGGTGTTGACGTCACGTGCCCACACACTCCTCCACACGAGCACTCGTCCATGTTTGCACAAAGCTCGCGCAATGTCAGAGACATGACTAATAGTATGCTAACTCTCCTGCTTTGTGTTGGCTGTGTAGTGGCTGATTTATGTGTAGGCTAGGGGGAGAGAAGCCCCCCAGGTTATTGAAATATTCTATGTGGGGTTTGAGGCTGAATGTTTGTACAGGTAAATCGATGGTTGCAGTCGATACTCTACCCATGGCTAAGCGAGCCGAGGGGGGCGAGCAGGGCCTCACAGAAGCCGGCGAGACTCCTGCCCATCTCAATACAGGTCACATCACGTATCGCAGCAAATTAATCCCGACCTCCATTTTACTTTCACACTTTATTTTTACACGCTGGAGTTACGCCGCCGTCTGCCAATGACATGATCTGTGCGTGGCCGTATTCGAGTGGTCTGTGAAAGACTGCAGGGCTGAATGAGATCTGATGGGATGTGATTGGGAATGATGGGGCTGCTGATGGTAGAGGAGGGATCCTCTTCTCGCATGTGTCATAAAGTTTTAGCGCTCAGCCTCGGCGGGGCTTTGTACAGTGATGTTACGGATCGGGATGAAAGATGACGTGCGGGACTGCATGACAGTAGACACATATACAGACGTGTAAACAACTCACACTTGTGGGGCACTTTGAAACTTCGAGTGTGCATGAGAAAACAAGTCATAAGTATTATGTGATCCTCATCCAATCAGATGTTAAGTACACACAGACACTCTATATAAGATCATAAGCGCATGTACACGGCACTCTCTGCTACTCTCTCACACATACATAGAAACACTCCTTGATTTACTCACACTAACAATTCCTCACGGAGACTACTGATACTTCCTGTCTGTCTGCATTTCTCCTCGTTAGGATGCAACTGGAGGCCTGGCCTCTCTGTAAGCAGACACTTTTTTAAAATAAATTAGAGTGCTAGCAAAAACATCCCTAGTGAAAAATAAATATACCAAAATGTATTTGAAATACATTTATTTGTATGCTAAGTATACTACAAATACGTTTACATATTTATGTACTTAATATAAATACCCTACAATTGTATTGTTGGTATACTAAATTGTTATACTTAAAGTCTGCTAAATTGGAACAACTAATTTTGTATTTAATGCACTTGAGTTATCTGGAAATAGTGCTCAAGTTCCAAGAACTTAAGGACTAAACAACCTTCAAGGCTTTTTAAACTTGCAGGTAAGACTTGTCTTGCTGAACTTTCCATTTCTAGTTTACTCTACGCTGTTGTTGGGGCAATGCAGCCAAAGTTTTCCCCCGCTTGACTATCTTTGTAATAAAAGAGCTTTTGTGAAGCGGAACACCCCAAGGTTGTGAGACATATACTCGTGCTTCTGGCAAACAATTAATTGGCACTTTGCAGTGCTAAAAGTGTTGATACGCTTGATTCCTGTTTGGCTGGGAGGGGAGCAGAGCAGCAGCCATTAATCAGAGTGTCTCTCAGCCATTTACAGAAGCATGTAAACTATCACACTGTTGCAGTGGCAGTGCAGCCGCAGCCGTGCCGACTCATCTCTACCATATGTGTTTCCAGGGCCTTCTGTGAAAACTTACTTCAGCACTTTTGACCACCTCTCTCTCTTTCTTATTCCTCTCACTCCTGAGATTTCATGTGGCACTGCAGGCTAGAACCATGCAGACTCTGTATGTCTCGGTCAGTGGGGTGTGGATGTGTCCTCTTGTGAAATCAATGCTTCTGTTCGCAGACTTCGCACTTGTGTGTGTGTGTGTGTGTGTGTGCAATTTGTTTTCTGTATAAACATGTTGGTGACGGGAGTGTATTTACATGAGCAGTCATTGGGATTTAAAGGGATAGTTCACCCAAAAATTATAACTCATTCATCATTTATTTACTCACCATCATGTCATTCCAAACCTGTGACTTTTTTACTTCTGTGGAACACAAAAGATGATATTTTGAAGAATGTCTCAGCGGTTTTCTTTTAACCCAATGTTGTCTTGGACCCAACTGACTTTCATTTTATCTAAAAAAATTTTTTATTTGAAACATTGTTCTTTACTCAGAATTTTAGGGTGAAGGGATATTAGGGATACCAAAAGGATATTGAGAGTGAAGTATATAAGTATAATACCCCCTAGCAAACAGAAAATAACAAATAATATAACAAAAATGATTATTTCCAAACAGGTTTTCCAACCACCCTTCTGTTTTGTGTTACTCTGAGACAAACAGGTAGTCCTGCCACAGGTGTACAGTTTCCTCTGCAGATTAAACAGGGATAGAAAGTGTTTTAAAGTTTGTTTCAACACACACACACACACACACACAAACACACACATACACACACACAGACAAACACACACACACAGGCAAACACACACACACACACAAACACTTTGGCCCTGGTCTAAAGGCTGCACCCCACACCCTGAGTGACACCATGACTAATACATACACAGATAAACACCATCTATGACAAACATGATAAGAGTGCAGTGCAAAACTCGCTGACAAACACCCCCAGATCCGCATCCCTATGGAAATGCTGACACATACTGACTGATGGATGTCTCCATGGATACCTGTCACCGTGGAGACAGACACCATGTCTCTCTCAGTGCAGTGGCATCAGAATCAAAGCGAGCAAGTAAAGCAGCGGGGAGGGAGGTGTAGAGAGATGGACATGAACAGAGGAGAGCAGAAGAAATGCTGCGTTTATCTGACAGCCAATGCCGCAGTGTTTCTTTGGAGGTCTCCTCCCTCATGCGAACCTGTCGGCTTGTTGCACCGTTCTGTAGGAGAACATATTCATCTCTGCCCCTTTTCCTTTCTTTCCACCTCCTTTCTCATTCAACTCTCTCCATCCCTGCTTGGCCATCACTTCAGGGGCGTGGCTATGACGGGCTGATTTACCACTCGATAGAAAATCGATTAAATTACAGTTTTAGCTTGAGCTTGTACATTTTTCCCAATTGATTATTGGCCATTCAAGTGTCGACAGTCAGCGCTGCATAATCAGCTCAGAAAGAGCCTTTAGATTAAACCTACTAAACATAATTAACAAGTATAAAGTTTTCAGTTAACAAAGATATGTAGGCAAATTATTATTACAGAAAAAAACTGGATTTAAACCTAAAACTCCACATATTCAAAGTAAAAACCTTAACCAGGGCTCAACCATAAGGATTTTTTTCAGCTTGTCAAGTCGGGCAGCAGTTATTCGATTTTCACTTGCATTGACAACCTTTTCACCGCCCCCTCACGAAGAATCATCAATTATTAATTTTAGTAATGCATTTCTTTTTTTGCATTTGCATTTGCTAGAAAAATGTCTATTTTTCATTAAATGTTAAGTTTACAAAAACTACATTTAATTTACAAATACAAATATTTTTTAGTTAACATTAAAATGATTCAATTTATTTAAAATAACTCAGTAAATTGATAACATTTTAAAATATTAAAATTAATTGCTTTTGCTAGAAAACAATGTCATTTGCAATTCATACTGAAGCTTTCAAAAACTATTATTTGTTAGCCAGTTAGATGACATTATCTGGGTGACAAATCAGCACAATTTGCAACAATATAGAAGGAGACCACATGTTTAAGCTTGGAAGGTGTAATATGTACTACAACAACAATGAATGTAAGAATACATTTTGAAATGTTGAATGAATGTAAGAATACATTTTGAGTGGAAAAGCGGCACTGGCCCAAAAGGTCCAAAACTCTCACACTGGTCCTGAGACATTAGGACCTCCTTATTGCTAAGCCCTGTTACCTTTAGACCAACAAATCCAGCCCACTTTTTAAAAACAAAGCGTCTCTCCTGTGTATTTGAGTTAATCATTTGGATTGTAACAGTAGTGTTTCACAGATTTGGTAATGGTAAAATCATTATTCCTGACAAAATTTGAAACTTTCTTAAACCGAATTGTATTTCCTCTTATATTAACTTCAGTTGCCCACACCACACCTCCAAATGCACACCCCAGGATGTCATCCTAGTAACATCATTGCATTGCTCTCTCCTTGTCTGCTCTCCAGACCCTCCTGAAACTCCCTAAAGCTCCTCGCAGCCTACTCTTCAATGTCCTCCCTCCATCATTCTCTCCCACACTAGGTGAAATGGAAACACGCTCTGAGAGCCTGGGGTTGCTATAGTAACAGGCTCACTCACCATCTTGTGTGTCACCATCACATGAGCTCCTGACGACCATAGCCCAACTCCGAGGCTATGTGGCTGGGACGGCTCCATCACTCTGCTCTGGGGATTCAGAACCCCACCTGGGATTCCCTGTCTCTCTCCGTGCTGCCACTGCTGCTACATAGGGCTGTATCTACACAGGGAGAGATGACAAGGTCGACCAAATAATTAACGAACAGGCAACTAAATTAAATAAATAAATAAATAAATCCACATGCCTGAGTCAACTCTCTGTAGACTTTCAACACCCACAGCAGGGCTCAATAATAAGCCTTTTTTTTGTGCTGGCCTGGGTTGGTCGAGAACGAGCGGTTCAGATTTTTACTTGCCCTGCCATCAGTTATACTGGCACCACCACAAATAAATAATAAGCTATTTTTAGACACATATTTTATTATGCAACTGAATATATTTATATTTTTCATGAAACATGTTTTGAGCTTTTTTGTAACAAAAAACCCCCTCAATTATGACGTCAAAATGCTAATGCTAAAAAAGCTGAATACATTTTCAAATAAATAAATATATAAATATATTTGTTTATTATTCCAAGATGTATTAATTGGAATGCACCGATATGAACATTTTGGCCGATACCGATAATTCTTTATTATTTGAAAGCTGATAACCGGTATATTAGCCGATAAAACTAAATCCAAATTTTGATATAATGTTTGAGAGTCTGATTACAAGAACAAAAGTCTCACCATTAAAAGCCATGTCCCAAGCACACAAATATAATGTTCTCATTATAATTTTATGTAGCCTATATGACAGACTTGCGCTGCACATGTTGCACCTAACTGCAGTTTTTCCTTTTTTTGAAGTTATTCCAATCATATTTCAAGCCATTCAAAACCATCATGGCGCGAACAGTGCACATCTGAAGTGTCTCTGCTGAAGGAAATGGTCCATTATTTATCTGCTTTAATATATCGGCCAAATTTTCTTATCAGGCCGAATATGATAACATTAAAAAGGAACATATATCGGCATCCCTAAGTTAAAAAACATAAAAAAAAAACATTTCTACACATTTCAAATGATGTTTCCAAGACCCTCACGTGCTAAATAACATTTAAATCAACAGAATTCACACCAATAATGTTTAAAACATCACAGAAGTCCAAATGTTTTAGTTTACAAGGCATAAAAACACATGTACAAACTCAACAAACACAATGTGCAGTGACAGTGAGGCACTGGCCTGATAGGGACACTGACAGTTCTGTCAACTGGCTCAAAACTCTCACACGGGCCCCGGGGCCATTGGGCCATCCTTACTTGTATAGGCCTGCACCGGATCACTGAGAAAACCGAGAGAGCGAGAAAGAGAAGTATATGTGTGGGTGAAAGAATAAAGGCCAGCAAATTGATTCGCATGATGGCACTCTGCATAATCACTCTGAACATGGAGCCAAGTCTGATTTATCACAGTAACAGGGCTGACGTGACGTCACAGCTCGGACACTTCTGTCTTGCGCTACCTTGCTCTAACCTTCTCCATATTTCTTCCTTTGCCCTTCACTCTATCCTTTTCTTATGACAGCACTCTCACCTGAAGACAATCTTACCCTAACTTACATTTTTTCATCACTTTCATAAACACCTTACTCACTCTTAAATCACAATAAATGTAAATAAGCAAAGGTGTAAATTTTCTCATTTGCCTCTTTCTCCAATGGTCCTATATAGCACATATTTCTATGGCATAATGAATATGGTTGGAAATGCAGAACCAGATTTTATTCCATTAACAGCTCTTCAAAATCCAAATTGTTCTGCCGATCGATGCAGACAGAAAAGTTCCCTCCTGAAAGTCAATGCGAATTGCCTTTTGCAACCCACTGTACTCACACAATTATTTATCCATTGGGAATTGACTGGATTGTGAAAAGTGGATGTTGCATCAACTATTAAAAAAGTTTTCGTTAATTGAAATAAAGCTAAAATAAAATTTAAATATTAGATGAAATTAAACTTAAAAAATGTAAAAGAAAATGAGAAATGTTGCCTTGGCAACTAACTGAAATAAAATAAATTTGAAGCACTAAAATTATTAAAAATAAAACAGAAATAAAAACAGAAATACTGTAATAAAAATAAAATATGACCAACGCATATTAAGCATATTAATAAATACTATAATATGTCAGAATAAATACTACGTCAGAGGAACTTTTTACTACATTTGGATTAAAAATTTTAAATTAAAAAAAATATTTAATAACTTTTCGAAAATCATATTTCATATGTTACAAGAACAGCCTTTTTCCACCTTAGAAACATTGCTAAGCTACGTAACATGCTATCTGTTTCTGATGCAGAAAAGTTAGTTCATGCATTCATGACCTCGAGACTAGATTACTGTAATGCTTTAATAGCTGGTTGTCCTGCATCCGCAATAAACAAGCTACAGTTAGTGCAAAATGCAGCCGCTAGAGTTCTTACTAGGTCAAGAAAATATGATCATATAACACCAATTTTATCATCTCTACACTGGTTACTTATTAAGTTCCGTATCAATTATAAGACCTATAAAGACCTAAATGGTTTAGCTCCTGTGTATTTAATGGACCTTCTATCACCCTACAATCCATCGCGTTCTTTAAAATCACTAAATTCGAGGCTTCTGGTCATTCCTAGGATATCTAAGTCCACTAAAGGAGGGAGGGCGTTCTCGCATTTAGCTCCTAAACTCTGGAATAGCCTTCCTGATATTGTTCGAGGCTCAGACTCGCTGTCCCAGTTTAAAACTAGATAAAAGACGCATCTCTTTAGCCAAGCATTCACATAACGCTTACCTTTTATACCACTGTTGAATCAGATCGAATGCATTAATATTATGAACAGCAGCTACGCTAATTATTTCCCATCTGCTTTTCTGCTGTTATCTCGGGACGCAAGTCCCGAGGTAAATTCGTTCGTCAGCTCCAGTTTGTAACCAGCCTCTCACGGAGACTTCAGATGCCCCAACACCTGCGATGAGACGACTAAACGCCTGTGAAGAGACGACTCGACGCCTGTGAAGAGACGACTCGACGCCAGCAATATGTCATTCCCTAAATTAATACATGATTAACTAACTGTATGTTTCTATGTACATTTCTAAAATGCACTTTCTGTAAAGCTGCTTTGAAACAATATGTATTGTGAAAAGCGCTATACAAATAAATTTGAATTGAATTGAATAACATGAACCTGAACAATAAAACATGCAATAAAGTCAACAAGTTCTGATTTTGAATTAAATTTGTACTTGAATTACAAACAGTAATACTAAGATATGCCTTTTATTGCGATGAGCTGCCTGCAGAGTTGCCTAATAAGGCAACAAGTCAGCTAACTTTTCAGATGCAGCCTACAATATCTGTCTCAAACTCATTAGTTTGAAACAGTTTATCGACTCACACACTTGACTGAATAAGTAAGAGTGTTCTTCTGCAAATACTAAGAGAATCCTAAATTGAATCTTTAAGGAACGGATTCATTACTTTCCTTATGATTCCAAACCTTAAACTTCTTTCGCATTAGACTCTTTCTTCGTGACTACTTTTCCCACCCCAGAAGACGGCATTAAGATGATCCCCAAACGCACGCAACCCCACATCATGGTGACCGCCACTTCACAGTAAATAAACTCACCCTCAGGGACAGTGTCTGCATAAAGCCCCACGAAAAGCAACACAGATGAGGCTCTGAATCTGGGACTTCTAATCAGACATCATCATCATCATGGTGATACATTGTATACTGGCTGGCCTGCTTTGTAAAACACAATCGACACGCTTATTCTTACACAGAAAAGCACATACTCTTGCATGCAGATTTACAACAGGAAAAGCCCCTTTGCTTGAGTCTATATTGCTGCTCTGATCTCTCCTCCTGCCCTGGCTCACTTATTCCTTCGGTGACCCGAATCAAACTCCTTCCAGATAGTGTGGCTCAATGCGGCGGTACCGCGATAGTGCTTGCATTGCGAGGTCACTGAAGCCTGAATGCTCTCATTACCAAACTGCCTCTCCAAACACATGAGCTAACCATAGCCTGACCACTTCCATTACCCCAAGTCAGCTTTACTCACACATGATCGAGCCATTGTCTGACCACCCTTACAAGTTAGGCTCTGGCTGTTTACCCATGAAATAGGCAGTTCCTGACAGTCTCTGTTAGAGAATATCAATGTGACAATCCATTATCTATATAACATCATATTACGACCTCCTCATGTCAATGACTTATGAACACATGGCTGAATCTTAGGTTGACTTGAAGGTAACCCATGTGCTTTTGCCAATATGCATTAGGATCATGGCTAAAACACTTCCAGATGTACAGTTCTTCATGTTTTGAGTCAAACATGATGGGCTAAACATAGCGCCATCACTTGCAGTTAGCATTAGTCACGCATGGATAAACCACAGCATGGCTGCAGTCACTACAAACACATTGTGCAGAGAATATGTTCTGAAAGCATCTTGGCTGGCGAGCTTTCTTCAAATAGCTGCACAGAGGTCAGCATCTGCCATGACTCAACTAAGTTTACGAAGCGAAAACCCAAAAATACACCATGAAACCATGTGTGACCTTAAAATCCCTCCATGTATTCTATCTCTGGCCAAAACAAATGTAAATGCTTAGTGTTCATCTGCCTCGCGTCAACAACACCAGCGCTGAACACAACCAAGACGTGAAACCAACCAAGACATGAAAGTATGCTAATGTAAGCATAATCTAAACAGAGATAGACTGCTTTATTAACACACGGCTGGCTATTTCGCTTCAAATCCACACAGACTCATTAATAATCCCTCACGGGCAATTTAATCAACTCGGCACTGGCCATCCATGCCTATTGTCCGTCTTCGCGAACACACGATCAAGATGTTCCCCCCTCCCCTCACACATGACAGACCTCTCGCCCGAGTCCCTTCATCCCCAAAGCCTTTTACCTCCACATGAACGCACTTACATCGCTCCAGTGGGCTTCCAGATCTTGCCACAGGAGACTTGAACGCCGCGAACGCTTCCTGCCTGGGGAGACGTTTCCACTATTTCCAATTATGTCACTTCAGGGCTGCTTCCGGTATTAATTTTATATCAATAACCACTGCCATTCCTTACTGACAATTA